CTTAGATGGATTGAAGCAGGGTGATGCACTTTCAAACTTACTGTTCAACATTGCTCTTGAAGGAGCGATTAGGAGAGCTGGTGTGCAGAGGAACGGTACCATCATCACACGATCGTACATGCTCCTTGCCTTTGCGGACGACATCGATATCATCGGAATTGACCGTAGAGTAGTGGAATAGGCGTTTGTGCCTTTTAAGAGGGAGACGGTGAGGATTGGGCTCACGATAAGTTCTACCAAAACGAAGTACATGGTAGCCGGTAGACAGCGTGGGAGCAATAGTGGTATTGGTAGTGTAGTGTTGTTAGATGGTGAACAATTTGAGGTAGTGGAAGAATTTGTGTATCTTGGAACACTAGTGACATGCGATAATGATGTTACCCGCGAGGTGAAGAGACGTATTGCAGCTGCAAACAGGGCCTTTTACGGATTACGTAGCCAGCTGAAGTCCCGTAGCCTGCAAACGAAAACGAAATTCGCTCTGTATAAGACGCTGATACTTCCGGTAGCCCTCTACGGCCACGAATCGTGGACGTTAAAAGAGTCTGACCGGAGAGCATTTGGTGTCTTCGAGCGTAAGGTGCTGCGAACAATACTCGGCGGTAAACAGGAGAATGGCATCTGGCGGCGTCGCATGAATCACGAGTTGTACCAAGTGTATAACGGTACGGATATAGTGAAGCTTATAAAACACGGCAGACTACGGTGGGCTGGGCATGTAGTGCGGATGCCGGAAGAACGACAAGCAAATATTATATTCAGCAGAGAACCCGGTAGAGGTCGTCGACTCCGGGGTAGACCTCGGACACGTTGGCTATTTGCAGTTGAGGAGGACATCAGGTCGCTAAACGTTCATGGCGACTGGAAGCGATTGGCTCAGGACCGAGTCCAATGGAGAAGAGTACTCCGTTCGGCGTTGAATCAACCTGGCGATTCGTAGCCCATCAAGTATCAAGTATCAAGTAACTTAGCTGCCCCTGGACCAATTCCAATAATTTTATCACCAATCGATCAGATATGTTTCTACGCATCTGTTAAATTTAAGACTTTACCATTTTTCAAAATGTCACTATTGAAAATTTCACGAATGTGCAACTGTTGCTTTGATAATTAAAATTAAATTTGCCTGCGAAAAGCGATTTCCCTAACACAGATTTCAAAGTTGAATTGCATCCGGTCTCACCAAACGGTGTTTATTCAATCACCGCGTGGTGAGTGGTGGTGTTCTCCAGTACACAACGAAAGGCTGCCTGCAAGCAGTGAGCTCCAGCCCACATGAGCATCCATAGAAAGAGGAAGGACCCGCACTGCTATAGATCGGAATTAGTAGCACTTCGTGAGTTGCTGTGGGCCATCTATGTCAAGCGCGTCATACTAAGGAGTATAAACACAGCGAAGCCCACTAAAATTCCTATTCCTACACAAAACACAAACTCTTGTTGCAGTTAACAAATAAGATTTATTATATGAGACGACGTAGTTCTACGTCACCATTGCGTACAGCCCCATAGGGCTGTACCTTGTAGTTTTTTATATGGCTTTCTCAATCTATAGGGTAATCCAAACAGTCAGTTTTGCATTTCCCTGTTTGGATAAAAGAAATCTCCATACGTACCAGTCGAAAATTCTATTAAATCACTTCGGCAGGAGTTCCCTGAACTTCGGCAGGATTTCCATGAACTTTGGCAGGACTTTCCCGAAGTTCGGCAGGCCTTCCTTGAACATTGGTAGGACTTCCCTATAGTTCGGAAAAGCTTCTCTGAACATCGGCAGAACTTCCCTGAACTTCAGCAGAACTTTTCTGCATTTCCGCAGAATTTCCCTGAACTTCAGCAGGGCTTCCCTGAAGTTCGGAAGGACTTTCGGCAGGGCTTTCCTGAACTTCATCAGGGCTTCGCTGAAGTTCGGCAGGCCTTCCCTGAACTACGGCAAGACTTCCCTGAGCATTAGTAGGACTACCCTGAACTTGGAATCTTGAAATTGAAGTTGTCATTGCAGTAGTAGAATTACTATAATTATACAATAATATTGTGTTTAGGAATATGTTCAAAATTGCAATACTTCCCATTTTTCTAGTTTGCAATGGTTGTTGGTATTGGTGCATTTCGAATTTGGATGTGGTTTGAACGGGTGTGGATTCAGTATCAACGGAAAAGCATTAACTTTCACCTTAATTGTGCAATTCCAGCGCCATCAGTTTGTCAAAGAGGGTTTTTAAGTGGGGTTAGTGGCGCATAAGTCGAATACGAATCTTTACACTATTTTCTAGAGAAATTTTGTTCGAGTGCGTCACACGGTGTGCGTGAGACCGTAAGCTATTTTTATAAGTAGTTGTGATATCGCAATAACTTTATGGTTATTCTTTTCCTTAATTTTTGTATATGGATGTTGAATTTTAGTGTTCGTGAGATTGCGCTTGGAGATCTCTATTGGATCGAGCCTACGGCGTCTAGCAATGTAACAACGGCCACTACTACAGACGAACTGAACCTAAACGTAACAGTTACTCTCTTTCATAACCTCGCTATTGGCTCCCCCTCTGACTCTCTGTTTTAACGATAGTCATCATTAGTGTCTGGTTTTATCATCTACCATCACACGCAATGAGTAGCGCTTCAACCCAGTGTAGATGAATTGCGTTCGTTTGAGCGAAACGAACAAATGAGTTCAACGAATACGCGTTTGTTGACATTCACCACTGCTTGATTATACAACCCAATATTTTCAAAATCAGAAACGAAAAGCAAAATAATCAAATTCATTTTGAGCAAAATGATTACTATGAATATTATCGACTCCAGAGCCTAAAACCACAGAGAACAGACGTTGAGATTCAAACAAAATTTCTCTAAAAACTAGTGTAAAGATTCCTATTTGACTTGAACGCCACTAACGGTGACATACCCACTTAAAAACCCTCTTTGACAACCTGATGGCGCTGGCGTTGCACAATTTACACTAGACACTAAGTGCTGGTAGCCACAAGTGGAAATTTTCAGCAGAACATTTATCGAAAGTGAAAAATGTTTGAAATCAGGAGATGCTAGCGCCACGTAACGGAGATGTTCCCACTTAGAACCCATGCATTAATTATGTCACGCTAAATCGAGGAGAAATTTACCCCCCGCCCCCTATCGTGACGTTTTTCCTATACCTAATGCATTGCTTGTCACAAAATCTTAGATCCCCCTCCCCCCAAGAGCGTGACATAATATATGCATCAACCCTTATCTTTACACAAGTTTATGACAGAAGCTGTACGTCTGCTCTCTGTGCTAAAACCTCGATCATCAATTCAGCACGAGGCAATAATTTTCCACCAATCTGTGTATAAAAACCAACAAAACACGTTCTACAGCACTATATTTGTGTAATATGAAAACAATAATTTTGCATTTGATCCTCAAAATCATCCCCACCAAGATGAAGATGGATATTGATATTGTCAATTGACAACAACACAGGCGATAATACACATCCAGCCACGAATGAACAAAAACAAATGTTAACTTCGATACTCATAGGTTGCGTTGATCGGGAGAATGTGTTTATGTCAAAATTCAAATTCATGCAGCTAGTTGGTCTATCTGTTATGGTTTTCTTCATTTTCAACTAACGGGTGTTCAATTAAAAATGAGAATGATTTCAGTGCCGTCCAGCGCTCTTGTGAGAGCACCGCGACTAAGTTGCGTCGTACGGCTGACCAGGGCCCCTTCTCCAATATTCATTGACGTTTTTTTTTGAAGAATAAACATAATGTTTTTAATAAAAAATACTGAATTCATTGGAAAAAGTTTTTTTTTTACTAGCTATAGACTGAAAAAAAATCTCATTTTTTATTGAACACCCGTTAAGTTGAGTGTACACTCAAAAAATATTCAATCCTAAATAGTATAAATGCTACACTAAATTGCAACTCTCCTGACCGACGCATAGCATAGCATCTACTCCATCAGGGAACCTGTTTTTCATGTGAATACCAAATTCGTCACGTCTAATTTCTGCCTGGTTTCATCAGTTTTATATACTTCTCCAGTATTGAATAATACTGCATCTGCGATGGTGCAATCCGCATCAGAATGTTGACCACAATGTCTGGATGGACATCCTCCTTGTTTCTGTTCAAACTAGACATGTACTGATGTAGAATCACCAGTAGAGCAGAAGCTTTCCAGAACCATCCCCTGGACAGTAGGGTGTTTCATTCTGGAAAAAGATTGATATTTTTGATAGGCCACCCCCTATTTCAGTTCATAACACAAAAACAAACATCTGTGCAAAGAATCAGCTAAATTGGTCAACGTTTAGAGGTCGCGCCAACGATTTCAATTTTGTTCGGGATTTTCGTCAAATTAGTATGGGAAAAAATGATGACCCACTAAAATCATTCTAACTTTTTTCCTAATGAACCGATTTGCATGAAATTAAAATATGTTATACTTAAAACTATAATGAACAACTTTGTTGAAGACTGCAAGTCGATTTAATGATTTGGAAAACAGAAATTGGCTGTCGGAACTCATATTGCAGATAAACCTTGATTTGAGCAGAAAAGCAGGTATGCTGATAGGGCATATATCATAGTATGCTTTGCCAGATTTTTTTTACCTCAATGTTTATAAACATATTGTGCTGTCATCTCTGGATACAATAGTGCCATGGATTTGAGAAGTGATACTGAGAAGTGGTTGATCGGTCAGTTCATTACCAGGTTCACCGGTGGAAAACTTCCGAGTAACCGAGAAGTACTGCAGCTATTCTTTTTTCATCGCTCACAATCTCGCTCCACGATACGACAATGCTGCTGGAAGGTGGTTCAATCGGCAGAACAAGTTTGGGTCAGAGCTCGTATCCCAAAGAGAAAAACCAGCCATAGTACCAAGGCTGTGGAAAAACTTCACGATCGGTGGACAATCATAAAAAAAAGTATTTCTCGCATGGACGAAAAATTTGTTCTGCAAAGAAAAGCCTTCAACGAAGGATTGGACAACCTTTTCGATATGGCTCATTCGAATGCCTTGGAGATGATGACGGAAGCAAGCGATCGCGAATTTCTTTTAGCGCAGAGAGAAAAAGGAAGACCAGGATACATGTTGGGCTCCTACAGCGACGCATGTGATGACGGTAAGAGTCAGAAGGAACCAGAAATCAAGGAGAGGGCCGGAAAACGCATCAATCCAACAGCAGCTATCAATCCATACTCTAAAGTGTACAACGAAAAGGTAAAGGTTTGTTGAATGTGTATTATAAACTTTATCAAGTGTTTTAAAACACAGGCGACGATCGAAGACCTCGAAGAAAATTCAGATGTTAATTCTGATGTTGATTTTAAGCCAACTAAACCGAAGCAGCGTAAAGTGGTGTCGCCAGAGCTTTGCAAAGTACTAGATCGATATGGAATTTCGGATCGCAAAGCAATGATGGTTGTTGCAACGGTGGTGAAAAGTGAGGGCCACAATCTTCAAGATTGTTCTGTATCTGTAAGCACTTTGAATCGAACAAGATTGAAAGTTCGAAGGGAACATGCTGAGGAACAAAAAGAACTTTGTTCTTTGGATGGATATCGTGTCGTGCACTGGGATGGAAAGCTTCTGCCGGATATCACGTCCAGTGGCAAAGGTTAGCTAACATGTTTCTCAGATGTTGGTTCTTTACTGATATTTAAACATAATTTTTATTACAGGTGGCAATGTAGAACGGCTGCCGGTTATCATTTCAGGTGAGGGTGATGACAAGTTGTTGGGAGTTCCGAAAATTGATTCGGGAACAGGCCAAGCTCAAGCAAATGCTGTCTTCAAGAGTTTGTGTGACTGGAATCTGGAGAGCCATATCATCGGAATGTGCTTCGATACGACAAGTTCAAACACTGGGCTGAAATCAGGAGCATGTACCTTACTTGAAGAGAAACTGGGGCGAACTCTTCTGAACTTAGCATGCAGGCATCATGTACTGGAACTACTGGCCAAAGCGGCTTTTGACAACTGTTTCGGCTCTTCGACAAGTCCAAATGTACCGATGTTTGAAAAATTCAAATCGGCTTGGAGTTCAATCGACAAAAGTGAGCAGTTGGTTACCGAATAGCCTTCATAAAACCCATTTTTCTAATTAATTTTCAGGCGATTACAAGACAATCAAGGCAAACAAGAAACTATATAAGTCCTTCGAAAATGCTAGCGATATTGTTGATTTCTGTAAAGATCAGCTAACGGTACATTCAAATTAAATTAAAACAAACGTATTGAACGTTACATTGTTTTCATTAATTACAGCAATTCCAACCCAGAGATGATTCAGGGAGGTTCTACAGCTCTGTATGATATTTTTGGGAGGAACACCGGCAGACGGAGTGTCCTTCAAGAAGCCTGGAGCTGTTCACAGAGCACGATGGATGAGCAAAGTTTTGTATTGCTTGAAGATTTTTCTCTTCAAAGACCAGTTTAGTCTCACAAAGGACGAAATCAAGCATATAACGAAATTTTGCATATTCGTTGCGAAAATCTATGTCAAAGCCTGGTTTCAAGCACCATCTCCTCTTTCCGCACCTCGAAACGACCTTGAAACATTGCAAGCGCTTTGCAACCAACGACGAGACAAGATGTGGTGGGCTGTCACTGAAAAACTTTTACGGCATTTATGGTACCTGAGCTCTGAAACTGTTGCCCTTTCCTTTTTCGATCCAGATGTTTCAAAAGCAACTAAAATTAAAATGATTGCAGCATTGAAACGTAAATTGGACGCCAAATGCGTGCGTCGAGCAGAAGTAGACATTTCGCTGTGCCAAAATCTTGGGCTAGAGGATTTTGTAGGCGGTAGAAACCGTTAACTTTTTTAAGCGTTTCAATATCGACTTGAATTTCATGGATTGCTGCCCTGGAACATGGATGGAAGATTCAAACTATCAGCATGCAGTTGAGCGACTGAAGAAATTGAGAGTCGTAAACGATAACGCCGAGCGCGCGGTAGCACTTATCACCGAGTTCAATGACAAAATTACTTACAATGAAGAGCAAAAACAATTTTTGTTGCAAGTTGTAGCCGATCACCGGAAGAATTTCCCAAACGTATCAAAGAAAAGCCTAAAATAAGAAACGGTATTAATATATTGCTCTAAGAGCAATAGCTTTATGAAATATAAACCATCATCAACAGTATATTTTTGTAGTACTTCATTTACACAAATTTATATTCACAAATGCATGTACAGCTTCCTGTACAAATTGCGTATGGTATGTAGAGGGAGGGCTTGCGTAACTTATTGTCTCACAGGAGGGAAGATGGTTATGATAAATGTTACGTAACTAATTAAAACAATTATTGGCTGTTAAATGAACCAAAAAAAATTTAAACTGTTAAGTATTATTTTTTTATTCACTGTTGACAAAAGAGGGAATGAATGAATAACAACCAACATTCAGCAGTAACTCTGAATAACACCCCCTATTTTTGCAGAAAAATGTCCAAATATTATTTCGGGTGTTAGTTAAACTTTCAACGCTTTCTCTTCTCAATAAATCATTTTCATGCAACGAAAACCATTTGTTTAATTGTTAGTTTCTATACAAATCTTCGTGGTTAAAATTATTCGGCTGGTTTTTCTCTTTGGGATACGAGCTCTGACCCAAACTTGTTCTGCCGATTGAACCACCTTCCAGCAGCATTGTCGTATCGTGGAGCGAGATTGTGAGCGATGAAAAAAGAATAGCTGCAGTACTTCTCGGTTACTCGGAAGTTTTCCACCGGTGAACCTGGTAATGAACTGACCGATCAACCACTTCTCAGTATCACTTCTCAAATCCATGGCACTATTGTATCCAGAGATGACAGCACAATATGTTTATAAACATTGAGGTAAAAAAAATCTGGCAAAGCATACTATGATATATGCCCTATCAGCATACCTGCTTTTCTGCTCAAATCAAGGTTTATCTGCAATATGAGTTCCGACAGCCTATTTCTGTTTTCCAAATCATTAAATCGACTTGCAGTCTTCAACAAAGTTGTTCATTATAGTTTTAAGTATAACATATTTTAATTTCATGCAAATCGGTTCATTAGGAAAAAAGTTAGAATGATTTTAGTGGGTCATCATTTTTTCCCATACTAATTTGACGAAAATCCCGAACAAAATTGAAATCGTTGGCGCGACCTCTAAACGTTGACCAATTTAGCTGATTCTTTGCACAGATGTTTGTTTTTGTGTTATGAACTGAAATAGGGGGTGGCCTATCAAAAATATCAATCTTTTTCCAGAATGAAACACCCTAGTATACATGTTTCGGCAAAGTTATAGCTGAGTTAATTTCAAGCAACTTTGTTGCACATAACTTTTTTGTATCTCTTAAATTGGCCGATTTAGAGCTATTTTTTTGAATTGAGTTAGGGTGACTCTTAAAAAAACAGTTTTTTTGCTCTTTTTTTCTTATTTCGAATTTCTCAGCAAAGGGGTTTTCAGATAACTTTTAGATCTTAATAAGGCGCAAATTTTTGCTGCAGAAAGCTTGTCAATATCTTTCGTCGATCAAGAGTTATTGACGTTTTTATACTTAAAATATGCACTTTTCAAATGTTAATATCTCTGGTTGGGGCAAACAAAAAAAAAGTTTTTTTGCAGCATTTGAAAGGGCGTATGTTATTCTCAATAATATGAAAAAATTGGAGGTATGTTATTTCTCAAACTCGTATAAAATCAATTTGAATTTATTCATATTTTTTACTATATTTGAGTATATCTTTTTTATTAGAAGAGATATAGGCAACAAATTCAGCTATAAAACATTTGTCTTAACGAGTTTTAAAAGTCTCTAGAAGATGACTTACTTGATAAATTTCAAATAAAAAAGTTATTGGAAAAAGATGGATTTCATAGGACCACTCTAATGACAAATTTATATAAAATATGCTAGTACATTTGTTTCAATATTTGGACATTTAGTGTCTTCTAAGAAGTTTTTGTTCTTAAAAATTCCCTTCTTTTGGTGTTTGCAGACGTCAGGGTGGTCCTCAAATTAGGGAAAATTTAAAACTAAGTTTTTTGTTTTACAAAATATAAACATGTGTTGTTCAAAAAAGTTGTAGTTAAGTTACTTGCAAGCAACTTTGTCGAAGGAAATTTTTTCTATCTCTTAACGTTCTCATTTTAGAGTAATTTTTCGGAGTTGACTTAATTTTTTTTTTTTTTTTTCTCTTTATTATAGAGATTTTTAGCCTGAGGCTAGTTCATCTCTTCGGAGTTGACTTAAGGTGTTCCTGGAAAAAATAGTTTTTTAGCAATAACTTTTTTATTTGAAAATTCTCATGAAAGTTATCTTCTAGAGTTAAAATGCTCTTTAAGACGAATGTTTTATAGCTGAATTTGTTGCCTGTATCTCTTCTAATAAAAAAGATATACTCAAATATAGTAAAAAAATAAGAATAAATTCAAATTGATTTTATACGAGTTTAAAAAATAACATACCTCCAATTTTTTCATATTATTGAGAATAACATACGCCCTTTCAAATGCTGCAAAAAAACTTTTTTTTTGTTTTCCCCAACCAGAGATATTACCATTTGAAAAGTGCATATTTTTAGTATACAAACGTCAATAACTCTTGATCGGCGAAAGATATTGACAAGCTTTGTGCAGCAAAAATTTGCGCCTTATTAAGATCTAAAAGTTATTTCAAGACCCCTTTGCTGAGAAATTCGAAATAAGAAAAAAAGAGCAAAAAAACTGTTTTTTTAAGAGTCACCCTAACTCAATTCAAGAAAATAGCTCTAAATCGGCCAATTTATTCAAACAAAAAAGTTAGATTTTTGATTTTAATGATAATAGGAACCACCCTAGAATTCAGAGACTTTTAGTCTAAAGTTTCAATTTCAGGCTCAAAACATATCATTCCAGCTAAATCTGCATTCTGTACCACTGTGCAATGGCGGATTGGAGGCTTGTGTTTGGGCGTTGCCATGGCTGTTCGCAACCAGGGAATGTAGCGATCCTTGTGCAGCTACCGAAGTAGCTTTTTCTGTTGGCAACGGCGTCTTCCTCCGTTGGAAAATATCAGCTGACAGTGACAAGGCCACCTTGGTCGAGCAGAGAAGGGTCTTCTTCCTTAACGATTAGCACTTCCGAGTCCGAGGATGCTCTCCTTTCTGGCAATTACAAGCCGGAGAGAGGAAGGTCCTTGAGTCTTAGACCAAGATAGTCGAGACTGACTTGGTCGAAACGTGCCGATCGTGAGGATGTTCG